CCGCCCTTCTCACCGCCAGTCGCCTAATCGCATTCCCCAAGCCCGGAGGCGGTACGCGACCTATCGCCATAGGCGAGTGCCTGCACCGCCTCGTGGCGAAGGTGGGCCTCCTCACCATGACGGCACAGGCGCAGTCTCATTTCCTCCCGCTGCAGTTCGGGGTGGCAGTACGCGCGGGCGGCGAGGCGATCATCCACGGAGCCCGCGCATACACATCCGAATTCCCGTCCGCCCTCGTACTCCAGGTCGACGTGTCAAACGCCTTCAACAGCGTTGACAGGGCCGCGATAGTGGCAGGCCTCTTCAACTCACCCCTCCGGCCGCTTCTCCCCTTCGTCAAACTCTCCTACGGAGCACCGTCGCGTCTCTACCTAGACGCGAGATTCTGCAGCGAACCCCTCCTTAGCGCCCGGGGTGTTCGTCACGGGGACCCCATGGGCCCCCTGCTTTTTGCGGCAGCTTTACACCCGGCACTCCATGCGACAGCCTCGGCGTTTCCTAGCGTGCTCTGCCTCGCCTACGCCGACGACATCACGCTGCTTGGAGAGCCGTCGGAATGCGCGTCGGCATTCACCCATCTCACGGAGGCCCTACGCCCCTTGGGCCTCGAGCACAACCCTCCCAAGTGCGCGGCGTGGTCAGCTTCCCAGCCCCCCAGCCTCATACTCCCCCCAGGCATCCCCTTCCGCACTGATGGCCTGCGCATTCTCGGAAGCCACCTCGGCCCCACTGAAGCCACAGCCGCTTTCCTTCGGGAGCAGCTGGCCGACATGGCCAGACCGCTCCCCGACCTGGCAACCATGGACCCCCAAGCCGCGGGCCTTCTCCTCCACCACTGCGTCTCAAGACGCGTATCCTATCTCACCCGCACCACCCCCCTTGACTCGCTGCCGTCCGAGGAATGGTCGAACTGGGGACAGAAGCTCTTCCACACCCTCCTCCTCTCGTGCAAACTTCAGCTCCCACGGGGCGAACAGGAGCGGTCGCGCACGTGGCACCAAGCCTCTCTGCCCCCCTCCCTTGGCGGCCTCGGCCTCGCGGACCCCGCAGTAGAGGGCCCGCACGCCTTCCTCACCAGCGTCACACAGGCCCACCGGCTGCTCATATCCCTTCCTTCGGACCCGACAGGCCCACTCGCTGCAGCGGCCTGCTCCTTGGCCCCTCCCTTCATCGGACCCTCGCGTCTCCATACCTGGCTGGCGAAATGCGAGTCAGCCCTCCCAGCTCCAGCCTTGGCGCTCCTGCAGGCCGAACGGACTGAGCCCTCGGACGATCCTCTCCAGCACCGGCTGGCCCTGGAGATACACGCAGCCCGCTTCGCTCGACAATTGGCTGCGTCAAGGGAGATGGACCCCAACCCCCTCAGTGGCCACACCCAGCGGCTCCTCTCCCTCACTGGGTACGGCGCCGGCGACTGGCTCCTCGCCATCCCCCT